ACACACTCACACACACACACACACACACACACACACATGCTCACTCTCCCCGTCCCTTCGCCCCTGTCGTGCAACCCCCTTTGATGATGCCTGCCGAGCAGGTGGGGAGCGTGAGTCGCCTGCGGTGCTGGTCTGGTGCCTGCACTTCCTTGCACAGCACCAGGACCGCCTCGGGCAGCGGGACGATGCGCTGGCCACCATCCGCCGCGCCATCGACCACACCCCGACCGTCGTCGAGCTCTACATGGTCGAGGGCCGCATCCTCAAGGTACGCACCACACGCACACACACACACACACACACACACACACACACACACACACACACACACACACACACACACACACACACACACACACATGCGCATGGCAGCTTTTGCATGTGTGGTGTCTTTTGTGTTGCCTGTACACACGTTCATCATCTGTGGCTGACGACGCAACGACATGTTTCTCCCTCTCACCTCCCTCACCCCTTCCTCTTTCATCCACTCCCACACATCCACCCCCTCCCCTCTTGCCTCTCTCCCCTCTCTCTCTCCCCTCTCTCTCTCCCCTTTGCTCCTGTGGCAGCACCTTGGGCGGCTGGACGAGGCTGCGACGCAGGTTGACTTTGCACGGCAGCTGGACACGGCGGACCGCTTCATCAACTCCAAGGCCGCAAAGTATCTTCTCCGCGCAGGCCGTATTGAGGAGGGGCAGACCATTGCTGGCCTCTTTGCCCGCGTACGTCCAGCATGCTGGTGCTGGTGCTGAAGAGGGTGCGAGGAAGTCATTGTGGTCAGCGTAATTCTGTGGCCTGTAGTGCGTCGTACTTCATCCACATACACACACATATATTCACACACACATATACATATACACACACATATACACACACATACACACACACATATACACACACATCCTCACATGCATACGCACTGCTGGCTGATGTTGTCTTTGACAGGAGACGCGCAACACCGACCCCCTTAACCAACTCCGTGACATGCAGTGCAGCTGGTACGAGCTGGAATGCGCAAAGGTACGATGGCCACAGCGACCACAATGATCGCAGCATGGATTCTGCGAAGGAAAACATGTGCTGTCATGCGGTGTAAATGGGGGCGGATCGTCACACCGCCTGTGTGTTCATGTTCGGACTCGTGACGAGCGAGCAGGGCCACCATGCGCCGTCGGTGTGTCATGTTATACCTCATCATGTCACATTCGCTGTCTACCTCGCGCCCTCTTCTCAATGTCGCTGTGCGCGCATGCATGGACTTGCTGTGCACGCTCTCCTCACCGCCTGCCTGCTGAATCCCACGTGCTGCTCAGGCGTATTTGGCAAAGGGCGACCTAGGCAACGCACTCGCCCACGTGAGCATCCTACACATTTGCAATGCAATGCAATATGATGGGATGCAGTGCATCAAAGTCCAGTGCAAATGCGTGGTCAGCCCTTGTGTACCACTGGTGGTCATTGCTTTTGCTGCTGTGCACGTGTGTGCTCCTGGTCCGCCAATCCTCATCCCCGTGCATCGCCCTGTCATGCCGTGTGGGTGTGCAGCTGCATGCTGTGAAGAGCTTCTACAAGCAGCTTGTGGACGACCAGTTTGACTTCCACAGCTACTGCCTGCGCAAGGTCAACCTCCGTGCGTACACCAGGTGCGGTCGCCACAGCGAAAGGGCAGCTGCTGTTGTTGCTCTTGTTCTTGTTCTTGCTCTTGTTCTTGCTCTTGTTGCTGCTGCCACGTGTGCTGTTCTGTGCTGTTATGTGCAGCTCACGGGCGTTGACCGCTTGATGGTCTCTCGATGCACAGGCTGCTCAAATATGAGGACGAGGCGTATTTCCACAAGCGCTACGTGCAGACGGCCGCGTACGCCTGCAGCGTCTACGCAGAGCTCCACAACAACCCCTTTGGTTCCGCAAAGGAGCGCGAGGAGGTGCGTGCACACGAACACACGCACGAACACACGCATACACTTTCAACACTTGCTCGCTCATACACCCTCACAAGCTTACACACGCCCACACGCCCACATACACACGGCTGCGTGCACCAAACCCAAATACTATTTGCCACGTCTAACGCTCTGTTGCTTGTGCTTGTGCTTGTGGATGCATGCAGCAAGAGAGGCTTGCAAAGATGAGCGAGTCTGAGCGCAAGAAGTACCTGAGCAAGCAACGCAAGGCAGCAAAGAAGGGGGCCGGCAAGGGTGCAAACCACCACAACGCGCGCGGCAAGAAGGGTGCCCAGCAGGACAACAAGAACAAGGACAAGGAGCAGAAGGGAAAGAAGAGCAAGACCCCGCAGTGGAACCCCAACGAGCTCGTCCAGGTCGCCACACGGCGCTGTTGTGTGTGTGTGTGTGTGTGTGTGTGTGTGTGTGTGTGTGTGTGTGTGTGTGTGGTTTGGGGGGGGGTCCGTAGCTGCCCTCACGCCAAATCGCTTCTTTCGTTCACGTGCTGCTGGTCACGCGTGTCCAATTCACATCATTGCATCGATTGCATTTACAGACATCAAAGGCGCTCGACGACGCCCTCGTCTTCCTCCAACCGCTTCTCGTACGTATGCTCATCACCACTCGCCCGCACCCAATTTGACTCGACCACCTGCCACTCCGCAACATGCCCTCATCCAACACATACACACACACACACGCGCGCGCGCTCACTGATGTCGCTGCACACGTTCTGTCACACCCGCCGCGTGCACACATGTGGTGATCGCATGTTGACACGTGACCTCCTGCGCGTATCATATCGTTCACATGTTGTCTCTTTGCGTTACCAGAACTTCCCTGCGGTTGAAGGGATGGAATCGCTGCTTGAGCCTGCCGTCGATGTTCTCGTCCGCCGCAAGCGCCCGCTCCTCGTCATCAAGGCCCTCCGTACAATGACCACAACAGACGTACACACGCGCACACACACACACACACATACACGCGCACACGCACACAATCGTGTCCACTGATTCGTTTTCTGTTTGATATGTGATTACACACGCCGACCAACGCACGTACATGTGTGCCTGACGTGCTCCCCTTTTGCAACTGTGTGTGTGTGTGTGTGTGTGAATGCCCGCGCCCACGTGTTCAGGTGCCGCGCCACGTGCTGATTGCGTCTACGCTCAAGTTGATGCGCTTCATCTCCACCAATGCCGACGCTATCAACCCGACTGTCCGCGAGATCATCGACGAAGGTCGCACACACACACACACACACACACACACACACACACACACACACACACACACACACACACACACACACACATGTCTCAATGTCTGCTGTTGTTGCTTACTCTGCTGTTGCTCACTCGCGTGCATGCGCTTTTTTTTCCCATTTTGCAGAGCTGCCGCAGCTGGTGGAGAACAAGTCCGAGCAGGATCTGCGGAAGGAGCTTGAGGACCTTGCATCCAGTGCGTACATTGTACACATGTGCGCACAACGTCACAGTAGTTTACGTAATGTCTCTCACACACAAGCAGGCAACCACAAACATGTAATATTTCAAAATGCGATCGCTTGTTTACTGTCGTGATCCCTGGCTCACCCAGCACCGCTCTCTGTGTCCCTGTGTGTACGGGTGCGTTCAAGCAGAGTCGCTGGCAGCGTTCGCGTGCGCACAGTTGCTGAAGAGGAGCGAGGGTGTGTCGACGTCTGACGTGATTGCTGCCATCACAGACAAGGCCGCCTCCCTCCCCGCCACCCTTGACGAGGTGAGAGATGACTGCTGTGTACACGCTGGATGACGCACATGAATTGCTTGCCCGCTGCTCATTCTTTCCAACACCCTTCCTTCACCATATCTTCGTTTGTTCATCACCCTTCCTTTGTCTTTCCATCATCCCCCCCCCTTTCGCCTTGTTTGCTCAATGTGGATTCACTCCGTGCACCCATTCTGTCCCAATTTTCCTTTAGGCTGCGGCGGTGTGGCTGAGCGTGGCAAATGTGCAGGATATGCATGCAGGCAAGAGCGAACTCCGTGCTGCTCTTCAGAAGCGCTTCCCCGATGCCCATGTCTTCACGCAGCACCAGCTGGGCGCCACAGCGTGACAGTGACGCGTGCGCTGCTGTTTGTCGTCGTTGTTGTTGTTGTTGTTGTTGTTGTTGTTGTTGTTGTTGTTGTTGTTGTTGTTGTTGTTGTTGTTGTTGTGTTGTTGTTGTTGTTGTCGTCGTCGTCGTCGTTGGCGTGGCCATTCGGGTGCACGTGAGCAAGAGAAGAGAAGGAGGAGAGGGTGTGGCGCCAACGAGAACGAACCACACATGCAAAGCTTGTTGTCGCTCGAGCAATGAATCAGACCTCTCTTTCGTTTGTTGACTGCTCTGTGTGTGTGTGTGTTGTAGGCGCCGAGGATTTGTCGTGCATGTGTGTGTGGAGAGCAAGCTTGCAGGAGTGCGTGCAATGTGTGCAGTTGTGCTCATGTCGATTACACATTCATTGCAGACGCGGCAGGAAATGGTATTGGGGGAGGGAAAGGCGAAGGTAGGAGGAGAAGGGCTACAAGAAAAATCGAACGGCAAACCAACACAACACAACAGCAACACGACAGCCACACTGAAGGGAAGCGCCGGCACGACCCACTCCACGGCGGGGTGATGGCTGCGGCTGTTGCTGCTGTTGCTGCTGTTGCGTAAGAAACAGCCATGCACACCTTGTACAGGGGGAGGACTCAACATGAACGTAACATGGATGTGGTGAAGGGGGCAACAGGAACGGAAGTGGAAACGCTTGGTGTGGGGAAGAACAGTGGCACCCATGCATGCTACTTGTTTGATCCACTGTGTCTTGCAACATCAGTGGACGCAAGTCGGCAAGAAAAGCAACAGGACTGGACGCAAAGCACAAATGAGATGCGGGGTACGGAAGTGATGGTGCCAAGTGGCAACGATGTTGTGACACCCTAGCTGTTGAGGCCCTCAAACTGCGCCATGATAGCCTCCATCTTCTTGCGGCGCTTCTCAAAGTCTGTCTTCTCCGTTTCAAGGGCATTGCGATCGGACTTGAGTTGCGTTTCAACGCCCTTCAGTCGCTCTTCCTCCTTCTTCACGCGCGCCCACTCCTCTGCAATCTTCCTGCGCTCGTCGTCGTTCTCCTTGCGCCGGGCAGCAAGCCACGCCTCCGTCTCGCGGCGGTGCGTCTGCAGACAAGCACGTACGTGCATATGCATGTGTGTGTGTGTGTGGGTCAATGTGTGTGTTGTTGTGTGTGAGTGTGTGTCAATGTGTGTGTCAATGTGTGTGTGATGAGAGCAAGAACAATACACAACACACAACACACAACACAACACAACACAACACAACACAACACAACACAACACAACACAACACAACACAACACAACACAACACAACACAACACAACACAACACAACACAACACAACACAACACAACACAACACAACACAAGACACGGCCTGCACCATCACCGCGGCGCACCTCCTGCAAGTGCTGCATGGACTGCTGCTGGGACTCAAAGAGGGCCTCGTTCTCGGCCTTCTCCTTCTCAAACGCCTCGCGGTCCGAGATGAGCTCGGCGCGCAGGCGGTCAATCTGCAGCAGGCGACGACGCAGTGGACGCCGTGGAGAGTTGAAAACATAGTGGGCAGGCGACGTGTTGGTGAGAATGACGGTAATGAATGTTGTGGCAAAGAGGATGTGTGTGTGGGTGTGTGCACGTAATGCCACGCACGCACACCCACGCACCCACGCACCCACGCACCCACGCACCCACGCACCCACGCACCCACGCACCCACGCACCCACGCACCCACGCACCCACGCACCCACCCACGCACCCACCCACGCACATTATCACACTTAACATAAACCGGAACCACATTACCATCACCACGCCACACGGCACGCACCTGCTGGTATTCGCCTTTAATCTTGCGAAAGAGGTCTTCGATGGACTGGATCATCTGCGACTGCACGCGTTCGAAATCGCGCGGGGCGACGTCGGTGATGGCCTTTGGAGTGACGCGGCGGCGCAGGGCGGGAGCCGGGTTCGGCACGTCGTATGTGATGTCTGGCGGCGTGGTCCGCTCATACTGCGCCTCCTGGCATGCGGGAACACGTTGGAACAGGCAACAGCAAAGTGCAGTGAGGGTGTGTGTCGGTCTGTCTGTATGTGTGTGTGTGTGTGTGTGTGTGTGTGTGTGTGTGTGTGTGTGTGTGTGTGTGTGTGTGTGTGTGTGTGTGTGTGTGTGTGTGTGGTGTCTGTCGGTCTGTCTGTCTGTCTGTCTGTCTGTCTGTCTGTCTGTCTGTCTGTCTGTCTGTCTGTCCGTCTGTCTGTCCGTCTGTGCGTGTGTGGCGGGAGATGCAGCAAGGAGAGTAGGAAAGGAGACAAGAAGGCACCTGCTTTGGGGCTGGCTTTGGCTTTGCCGGTGGGCCGACGCTCGGCTTACGACGCGGAGCAGCAGGCTTCACCGTCGCATCTGGTGTTTTGAACGCAGTTGGAACAAGTGAGCAGGACGAGAAGGCAAGAAGCAGCACGCACGAGACACACAAGCAGGCAAGAGTTAACAAGGACGCGCGCGCGCACACACACACACACACACACACACACACACACACACACACACACACACACACACACACACACACACAATCCACCAACCACACAACAGCCCACGTCCATGTTCACGTAACACGCAAATGCACACGCAACCACACACATGCACGCACGCACCGGTGATGGTGAGGATGTGCGTGTCACTGAGATCCACGTCGTTGGCGGTGCCGCCAAAGACAATCATCTGTCATGGCCAGTTGCAGGCAGGGAACAAGACACAAGATGAAGGCGAGTGGTGGTGGATCGAGGAGAGTAACACCAGTCCACCTCAAACAGAACAGCTTCGTACCAGCGGCAGTACCACCACCTTCACCACCACCTTCCTTCCTCATGTTGCTGCTGTTTGGTTGCGTACCTTGTTCTTGTAGACGGCGGCCGCGTGTGCCCAGCGCACGGAGGGGACTGCGCCACTGACCTGGGGGCGAACCCACGCTTGGCGCGCTGGTGCGTTGGGTTGGGTTGGGTTGGTTGATTGGTTGATTGGTTGATTGGTTGATTGGTTGATTGGTTGATTGGTTGATTGGTTGAATGGTTGATTGGTGGGGTCAACAAAGGAAGAGGTGATGATATGTGAGATGTCAGAACACACACACACACACAACCAATAAATGAACATACTTGTGTCGAAGACGACGACGTCGTTGTAGTAGGTGAAGATGTCCTTGGACTCAATCTCCATTGAGCCGCCAAACACAAACACCTGTGGCACACGTCGCAAAACGAACGAGAAGACGAGACGAGACGGGCAACAGGTGCAACAGGATGAACACAGGCAGAGGCGATACGCAAGCCACACGCTGACCACACATGAACCAAAACACACACACACACACACACACACACACACACACACACACACACACACACACACAATCGTTGATACGCACACGAGTGCACCCTCTCCACGGTGGTACCTTGTCGCCAAAAGTGGCTGCAGAGTGAAAGTCGCGTGCTGTTGGCGGCTGACCACCAGCTTTGACCGCCGTCCACGCACGAGACTCTAATCATCATCATCATCATCATCATCATCATCATCATCATCATCATCATCATCATCATCATCATCATCATCATCATCATCATCATCATCATCATCATCATCATCATCATCATCATCATCATCATCATCATCATCATCATCCGCAGCAGCAGCAGAAGTAGCAGACGCATCATCCGCAGCAGCAGAAGCATTTCAGTACAGGGGGAAAGGAGAATTACAAAAGGGGAGGCAAGGTGGAGCAGTAACAGTTGGCAGTGGATTGTGTCAGGGCACATGCAGCAGCACTTCAGGTGAAGGATGTGCCCACCGCCAAAGACATCAACGACTTGTCTTGACTCACCGGTATCGAAGCAGAACAGATCGTTGTAGAGGGTGGCTTCGCCTCCACGGCCACCAAACACATACAGCTTGGAGCCAACCGCGGTCATGCTGTGGTTGCAGCGGCGGCTGGGCGGGTTGTTGGCGTGCACGGGCGTCCACATCATCGTGTTGAGGTCCAGCTTGAACATGTCGTTCTTGGCCTGGCCATCCTCAAACCCGCCAAACACATACAGCGCATCGTCCACCACGTCGGCTGCGTGGTTCAGGCGCGGCGCCGGTGGCACGCCTTTTGTCTCCACTGTAAAGTGAGTTGAAGCGCGCGTTGATGGCGGAGGTGAGCTGTCCCAGATACAGCAACAGCATACAGCAGAAGCGACGCAAGGAGGGCGACAGGACACGTGGGGAACGGGTGTCAAGTGAAGAGAGACAATTCCACACAAAATACGGGTGTCTGAACACGCAACATACAGTGCAGCGAGCCGCTGCACGTGCATGTGTAGGTTTGTGGTGACAACACTCCCCTCTTCCCTCTTCCCTTCTCTCTTATCTTCCTCTTGTTGCTGCTTCCATACCGCGCTTCCAGGTGAGCGACTCGTCGAGGGTGTACACGTCGTTGAACTCCTTCTCCAGCGCACCGTCACTGCCAGCAAAGAGGACGAACATGTTCTTAGCAGGCACGTAGGTCAACGTGTGGCCCTCTCGCTTGCACGGGACGTCGCCCTTTGCGCGGACGGGCTCCCACTGGGGCGCGCTGTCCAAGTTCTTGAGCACCCACACATCACCGTTTGGGATGGGGTCGCCCTGCAGACCCCCGGCCAAACGCAGCACAACCGACGAAAATAGCAGTCAGTGGGCAACATAACAAGGTGTGGTGGGAAATACGAACGAGTAGCAGCAGACACGAGCGTGTGCCTGCAACGAGCCGGCGCATTCATTTCACCAACTTGGCACGTTAAAGCAACAACAACAACAACACAAGTCACGCACTGACCCAAGTCCAACCGCCACAGAACAGGCGCACTTACATCTGCGTTGACGGTAACGCCGCCGTGGAGGACGAAGCGACCAGATGCTTCGTCCACTGCACACGCGTGGGCCGACCGCTCCCGTGGGCCGTTGCCGCTCACTGGCTTCCACTCAACACGCAGTGCCATCGCTTTTGCCTCGTTCGTGTCTGTCTGTCTGCTTGGTGGTGAGGTGGATGTTGTTGTCCTTTTTGGTCGCTGGCGGTGTGTGTTTGGATTGGAGAATAAAGAATTCTGTGGAAAATCTTTCGGCTGCACGAAAATTACTCTGCTGCCTTTTTTTCATCGCTGGCAGCGCGCACAAGCAGCACAGAAAGCACACGTGTGGAAGGCTACAGCAACCACTGCAGAAGAGACAACACAGACACACCATCATGGACGCAGAGGAACTCCAACAACATGTACGAGATATCTACGCATACGGGATGGTTTACTCTGTGCGCGCGAATGAGTGTGCGGGGTGGTTCACAATGTGTGTGTGTGTGTGTGTGTGTGTGTGTGTGTGTGTGTGTGTGTGTGTGTGTGTGTGTGTGTGTGTGTGTGTGTGTGTGTGTGTTTGTTGAGCACAACTTGGTTGACCGTGCATTCATACCATGCACTTGCGGTTTGTGTGTGTTACAGCTCCGGGCATTGGCTGCGGGCGTTGCCGCCACAGTGGATGATGAGAAGCTGAGCGCAGACTGCGATCGCTTGCTGGACCAGAACAAGCCTGTCGAGGTTCTCAGCCGCATCGTTGGCCTCGCCGGCTCCCTCACCACAGAAGAGGGTTGGTTTGTGTGTGTGTGTGTGTGTGTGTGTGTGTGTGTGTGTGTGTGTGTGTGTGTGTGTGTGTGTGTGTGTGTGTCTATGTGGGTGTGTGGGTGTATGGATGTGTATGTGTCTGTCTGTGTCTGTGTATGTGTCTGTGTGTGTGTCTGTGTCTGTGTGTCTGTGTCTGTGTCTGTGTCTGTGTGCTCCGGCATTTTGTCCCTCTCTCTCTCTCTCTCTCTCGCTTCGATTGCTTTCCTTTCACTTGCTGTGCTGGCATGCCCGTTGCCTCACAACATCAACTTCATCAATAACGACAACAACGACGGCGCTGCGAATGCGGGTGCAGATATGCTTGACGACATGCTGCTGAACGCCATGCTCCTGCAAGTGACGCACCAGCCTGCAGAGGTCCAGGACCAGCTCATTCCGCCGTTCCTCACCTCCCTTCAAACTCACACAGCCTCTGGCCCCAACGTGGCCGTCGTCGTCAGCACGTGCGTTGGGGCAACGATCGCGTTTGGAGGTTGCGGTGTGTGGTGATGACCCTGCTTTGTCGACGTGCTGCAAGCCGTCGCCTTCTTACCGAGCCCACACACACACGCACCCACACACACATGCACATGCACATGCACACGCACACACGATGTGTTCAGGGTGACATCGCTGTTCAACCTTCTTCCCGCCAACTCCAAGCACCGCTACGATGTGCTTTACCAGGTCCTGCAACGTCACTGATCTCATGTGCCAAGCATGTGGGCCTACCTTGCCCTTTCGTTTCGTGTATTGTGTCCGCATTGTTGTTCTGTCCTTTCGAAGCCCTCACCGTACTGCGGGCCCTTGATCGCGCCACCACCACTTGCAGCTTCTGTCCTGCGGTCTGGAGGCAACACAGGGCACCAGCGAGCTTGCACAGCAGGTGGGTTTGAAGCTGTACCATCACCGCGAGTCTGCATATCCCTGGGGTCCACCAAGCCGCTTATTCCACCTGCATGTGTCTGTGTGTGTCTTTGTGTGTGTGTGTGTGTGTGTGTGTGTGTGTGTGTGTGTGTGTGTGTGTGTGTGTGTGTGCGTGTGCGTTAGGTTGACGCCAACGTGGATGCGTGGATCAAGGACTGGGAGCTGACACAACCACAGCAGCGGGCACTCTTCAAACTCTTTGCTGCAAAACTGCAGGAGGCCAACAACAAGTGAGTTTGCGTCATACTTGGTGTGCTTGTGTGTGTGTGTGTGTCTGTGTCTGTGTGTGCGTGTTGATGGGTAGGTGCTTCGCCGTGTTCTTGTGCGTGCGTGTGTCTGTGTGTGTGTGTGTGTGTGTGTGTGTGTGCTTGTGTGTGTGTGTGTGTGTGTGTGTCTGTGTGTGCGTGTTGATGGGTAGGTGCCTCGCCGTGTTCTTGTGCGTGCGTGTCTGTGTGTGTGTGTGTGTGTGTCTGTGTGTGTGTGTGTGTGTGTGCTTGCGTAGGTGTGTCTCGCCGTGTCCTTGTGCTACCCCGCCCTTGCTAGCGTGCATGCCGCCTCACCGTGTCCTTGCGCCTTCCCCGGGGGCATCAGGGCGCTGAGCAAGAAGTACCTGACGCGGTATGTCAAGTCGTTTGACGGTGCAGCGGCGTCGTCCCTGCACGAGGCCTCGCAGGAGGCCCGCGACCTCATTGCACAGGTGCGCCCGCTGCTCATGCCCTGTGGCGTGTACATACTTGCATCTGTGTCTGTGCATCTGTGTGTGTGCCTGTATGTGTGTGTGTATATCTGTGTTTGTATCTGTGTGTGTGTGTGTCTGTATCTGTGTTTGTAAATTTGCTTGTGCGTCTGTGTGCCAATATGCTGGGTGTCTTGCTGTGTCTCTATGTGCGTGTGTACTCCTTCTGGCGCGTGCTGACTGTTGTTCTTGTGCTGTGATGACGACACAGGCGCTGAACACGAGCGCGGCGGACTCGCTCGATCTCCTCGGCATGGACGCCGTCAAGCACCTCAAGGAAGAACCGGTCAGTCGCATACACACGAGTGCATGCACACACACATACATACATACATACATACATACATACATACATACATACATACATACATACATACATACATACATACATACATACATACATACATACATACATACATACATACATACATACATACATACATACATACATACATACATACATACATACATACATACATACATCCCTGAATTGCCTGCTGTGCTCTGCACACTTTTCATGTTGTCTCCTGGCGTGTGCTCACTCCTTGCTGTTGTAACCGACCTGGATGGCTCGCGTGCGCGCGGCGCAGGGTTACAAGCTGCTGGAGGTGCTCACAAAGGGCGACGTACCCGGCTTCAACATCGTGTGCCAAGAGCACCCATCCGCCTTCACAGACCTCGGTCGGTCGCCCTCTCAGCAACCACAGAGACAGACAGGCAGGCAGGCAGAGGGAGGGAGGCAGAGACAGACGCGCGCACAAAACACACGCAAATACACACACTACACCCGCTCTTCTCACACCTGCCCTTCCTCCTCTCTTCCTTTTGTTCCTCTTGTCTTTGGTGTCTTCTTCGCCCTCGGATACAGGCCTGGACCAGGAGCAGGTCGCCACGCGCGTGCAGCTCATGGCGCTGGCCAAGTTCTGCGCAAAGAAGACGCAGGTGACGTTTGCAGAGGTGGCGAGCGGACTGTCCATCCAGGAGGACCAGGTGGAGCAGCTCGTCATCAACGGTGCGCACGCACTCGTGTGGGTGATGGACATTTGGGGGTGGCGGGGTGATCATGTCGTGGCTGGAATCTATTATTGCTGTTGCGGTTGTTTGCGTACTCCCATATTGTGCCTCTCACCCCCTCCATTGGTGTGCATGTATTTGTGTGTGTGTGTGTGTGTGTGTGTGTGTGTGTGTGTGTGTGTGTGTGTGTGTGTATGACAGCTCTGCGGCACTCTGTTCTTGAGGCGACGATTGATGACGTGAACAAAGTGGTCAACGTCACCCGCGTCATCTACGACTCGTTTGAGCCTGAGGACTGGAAGAGCCTTCACGCCCAACTCATGGTCCGTTGTCTTGTTTGTGTCTGTGTGTGTGCGTGTGTTTGTGTCAGTGTGTGTGTGTGTGTGTGTGTGTGTGTGTGTGTGTGTGTGTGTGTGTGTGTTTGTCTGTATACCTGTGTGACTGTCTTCTTTCTTTCTGCCTGTCTTTCTGGTTCTCTTCTGTGCTTGTCTTGTATGTCTTTGTACTTCCTCGTGGTGTTCCTTCGCTTGTCGTGTGCCCACCGACTCCTTATCTTACCTGTGTGCGTGCGTGCGTGTGTGTGTGTGTGTGTGGTTGCAGGCGTGGAAGACCAACATTGAGCAAGTGCGGACGACGTTGGATAAGGTTAAGTTGAAGGTGCAAGAGAAGCGCCAGCCCCGTCGCACATACCGCAAGTAGTGCTGTGCTGTCCCTTGAGCACCGAAATGAACATGATAGGCACCCAAAGGCCCCACCACCCACAATACCACCACTCGTCCGCTCGCGTGGCATCTTCCGAATGCATTGTGCGTGTTGCTTGTTGTGATTGTGCATTTGCCCACCACTGTGCTGTGCTGTCTTCCATCCTCGTCCTGCTGTTGCTTGTTGTTGTGTTGCCATTGTTTGCCACGTATGATGAATGAACACGTCTCTCTCTTCAAACAACAAGACAGTATCCAAGTGAGCGAGCGAGCGAGCTGGTGTTTTCTCCAAGACTTTTCTCACACCTTCCCTTGGCCCACGACTGCTGGCGATGCAAGCGTGGGAGGCTGTGTTGCCCACGGCGCAGGATGCGGCGGCACTGCGGGCGCTGAGGGCCGCCCACTTTGCCCAGACACCGCAGCAGCTGCGGGACCGCTTCTGCATTGCGGTAACAGATGCACTCTGCTGCCGTGGCAGCGACAGCGGCGGCAGCGGTAGGAGCAACGACGACGACCACCACCACGACACAGCCCATGACGACGATGGCACGCGGCAGCCCATGAGCCAAGGCAACCACTGCGACAACGACAGCAGCAGGCATCAACGCGAAGGCGGAAGGAATGGCGGAGACGAAGGCGGTGAAGAGGACGAGGACGACCACGCGGACTCCTTGACCTTCTCCCAGGTGGAGCAAGCCATGCTTGCATATGAGCGCACACATGCAGCACCGCACAAAGGGCAGGCAGCCAGCCAGCGCAGGAGCCGACACCCAAGGGCAGCAGGCACATCAAGGACACCCGCATCTGCATCCTCGCCAACACCAACACCACCATCAACGGCAACAGCAACGGTGGCAGGAACAGTGACAACGTTGCGAGTGCTGCCAGCAGCACAACAACACTCTGCAGCGTCTCCGTCACGGACACGGACGCCAAGCAACGCCACGTTGCATGCAGAGCACCAAAGAACCCCTGTACGGAGCAGCAGCAGCAGCAGCAGCCCGGCGGCAGTCTCCGCCGCCTTTCGGCCACCGACTTCGCTTGCCTCTCAGCCGGGCTGCATGCCAACAGCAGACGCCACCACCCGCTTCTGTATCCAGTATCTCAATGCAATGTGGTCGTCATCCACGTAGCTTTCCCTTGTGGTCGCTTGACCCCCTCCCTCCTCCCTGTCCACACCCGCCGCCGCTTGTGTCATCACACTCTGCCCTGCTTCACTTCGTGCTTGACTCCGCGTTACTTTGCACCTGGCCTTGCCACAAGGCGGCGGCTCCTTCTAATGAACCTTCTTCTCTGCCAAGCACAGCACGGCACAGCGAGCGAGGGGTGTGAGAGTCAAAGCCACTGCACGCTCTCTCATAACCGCCCGCGAAAACACACAGTCAAGCAAGATGGCAGGACGAAGGACAGCAACGTGGAGACGCGTTGGCAGCGGGGATAGCGGTGTTGATCGAGTGTTGGGAAGCAGGGCTGTCGGAGAAGGGCCCAGGGAAGGAGAAGAGAGGGTGGAGGGGGAGGAGGAGGAGGAGCACGAGCCATGGCCAGCCTGGAGTGCCCCCGTCGCCATCGTCGTGCTTTCTCTGAGCCTCACCCTCTTCGGCATCAGCCTCTGGTACGAGGGTGTGTGAGTGCGTGTGTGTGTGTATGTGTGTCTGTGTGTCTGTGTGTCTGTGTGTGTGTGTGTCTGTGTCTGTGTCTGTGTGTGTGTGTGTGTCTGTGTGTCTGTGTGTCTGTGTGTCTGTGTGTCTGTGTGTCTGTGTGTATGTGTGTCTGTGTGTCTGTGTGTGTGTGTGTGTGTCTGTGTCTGTGTGTGTCTGTGTGTGTCTGTGTGTGTCTTTGTGCCCTGTACACACCTGCTCCACAACTTCAAGTTCAACACTCTGCCATGTTCTCCACAACCACTGCAGGGACGTGCTGAGCACGCTGGTCATCATCTTGACAGCCATCTTATCTCTCTACCTGCCACGATCACTGCTCGTTGCCGCTTCGGTGCGTACCCTTGAATGCCAATGTGCCCACTGATCTCGTGTGTTCGTACAACAGCGAATGTGGCGTCGTGTGGCAGCCTGCACTGGAACCCTTGCTTCTGAAACCAATGTGTCAACAGCCCCGTGCTCAATGCTCACCCACTGACCACCACAGGTACGAGGACGGGAGTTTGCGGACGCGGAGCCCAGATCCATCAAGGTACGCCACTCCTGGCAGCAGCAGCCCCCTGCAAAGACCTCTGACATGTGTGTGTGTGCGTGTGGCTGTGTGTGTGTCTGTGTGTGTGTGTGTGTGTCTGTCTGTGCGTGTGGCTGTGTGTGTGTGTCTGTGCCTGTGTGTCTGTGTGTGTCTGTGTGTGTCTGTGTCAGTGTCTGTGTCTGTGTCTGTGTGTGTCTGTGTGTGTCTGTGTGTGTCTGTGTGTGTGTCTGTGTGTGTGTGTGTGTGTGTGTGTGTGTGTGTGTGTGTGTGTGTGTGTGTGTGTGTGTGTGTGTGTGTCCCCTCGCCTCTCACTACCGCCACCGCCAACACTACGATCTTGCTTCCAAAAGGGGAAGTTGCGGTGGAAGCGTGGCGTTGCAACTGCGTTGCTGATGGTTGCGCCTGTCCTGCAGTACCTGGCCATCACTTACATCAACACCCTCTCCGATGGTCTGTGTGTGTGGGTTGGGTTGGGGTGGGAGTATGTTGGTGGCTGTCAGTATGTCCGTGCCACTGTCTCTCCGTCCCTCTGTCTCTCTGTCTTTTTGCCTGTGTTACATCACTGTGTGCTTGTGGGCCCACACAGCCTCTTCCGTGGCAGTATGTTTCAGTCGTTTGTTCACCCTGAACCCGTCACTACCACCACCGTCACCACCATTGTGTGCAGGGGAGAAGGCGGCTGTGTCATCCTGGCGCGTGTTGAATCCGGGTTTTGTCGCCATCTGCTCGGCGCTGTATACCCTCACCATCCTCACTCAAGACCACATCGAGGAATGCCACCAACTCCAAGCCAGGGTACCTGTGTGCCTGTGTGTCTGTATGTCTGCGTCTGTGTCTGTGTCTGTGTCTGTGTGTGTGTGTGTGTGTCTGTGTCTGTGTCTGTGTCTGTGTGTGTCCCTGTGTGTCTCTGTATGTCTGTGTGTGTGTCTCTGTATGTGTGTGTGTGTGTGTGTGTGTGTGTGTGTCCCTCAGTTTCTCCGCCTGTTTGTGAGCAATACAATCACCCCGACCACTCACCCAAGTGCGTGCCACGTGTACTCTTATTGCTACACCCTCTTCCTGACCCAACAACCACTTACGCCTCTCTGGCGCGCCAGTGGGAGAAGAGCGAGCGCCTTGGCCGCCGCATTGCTGCCATCGACGCGCGCGTGCTCGAGCTCCAGCGTCGACTGGACGGTTACAAGCACGTCCTACAGGTGAGAGGCGAGGGACACACTCTCACAGGCACGACAACAGACTGTCGCGTGGGTGGGGGAGGGGTGTTTGGGGGTGAGGGGGCCTGTCTGGCTGTTTGCCTCGTCTTTCGGCTCTCTTCGCGACTCGTCTCCCGCTCGCTTTGCCTAGGGCCCCCTTCCCTCTGTGCTTGGGTACCTACGTGCTTGCTTTGTCGTAGCCCTGTGTGCCGAATCGCATGGCAAGCGTTTCCCCCACATCCAGCGCTCATTGGCGGTGGTTGCGGTGCGTGGTCGACAGACATCTGTTCACACGGTTTCACGGCTGCAAACGGGAGAAGACGATACCGAGGTAAGGCGTGCACCTTGCACGTTCCCTCCCTCACTCACGCACCCTCTCACACTCTTACTCACTCACTCACTCACTCACTCACTCACTCACTCACTCACTCACTCACTCACTCACTCACTCACTCACTCACTCACTCACTCACATACTCACTCACTCACTCACTCACTCACTCACTCACTCACTCACCCACTCACTCACTCACTCACTCACTCACTCACTCACTAATCCGCATGCAGATTCGCCTTGAGGATCTTGCTGCGCATATGGCGCGGCTGGACGAACGATTACAGCAGTGCGAGCGCGACCGCCGGCGGTTCGATCTCGTCCGCACAGACCACCTGCTGCGGTCCTGGGCCCCACCATCCGCAGCATCATCTGCCCCGCCCGCATCGAGTCATCAGCGCATGACTACGACGGCACTTGCCAAGGCGTTTGCACGCAGTCTGATGGTGGTGGAGTGGCCGTGGTCGAAGGCAGCACGCCTGATGCGCTTCGCTGCCACTGCCGTCTCGGGTGGCGCAGGAGCTCACACATCGACATCGCCGCTCACACCGGCGCCATCGTCGTCGCCAACAGTGCGCTCGCCAAACGACGGTCGCAGCAGGCACGAGGAGTCGATGATACCGCCACCACTTGGCGACCCGCTGTTGCCGGGGACGTCGACGCCTGCGCGGGCATCACCAGGTGGAGGTGTACGGCGGCAGAGCAGCGGATCATCTGTTGGGTCAGCAGCGCATGTGTCCAGCGCTGGTGTTGGCAGCAGTCGTCAGAGCAGTGTGCGGGCTCGCTTGAACAGCACGGATGTGTGAAGCGACACAGACTCAGAAATGAGAGCGGGGACCGAACTCATCTATGCTTGGATGATACATATGGCAATGAACGCAGGGGATGTGCTGCCCGATCTGCACTTTGATGATGATGATGATGATGATGATGATGATGATGATGATGATGATGATGATGATGATGATGATGATGATGATGATGATGATGATGATGGTAGTTGGTGGTGGTGGTGGTGGTGTGTGTGT